GTTAAGACGTGATTCAGACGTCCAATACGAGACTATCACGCTCAATTCCCGACCGGGGATCATCATGACCCATATGTGTCACGAATCCTGTCCCCCATATCGCTCATTTGGGAACGGGGGTTTTCTATCGGCTATGATGAATTGGTCTATCAATTGCTATTCCACCACCCAAAACTGCGTTACACATAATTTGTTTCCTTTCTTGGATTACCAATGGCTTTTTCATTCTCTTGATTCCCGCATCCTGTTTTGCGTGCAATGTGCACAAGGTTGGTTTTCTATTCCGCACCAGACATTTCTTCACCTCATCTCTTCCTGCCGTACGAAGCGTAAATCCAGTGTACATTTCAATACCGAGGTCAAGTTTGGGGGGATGCTTCTTGGTCCTTTGAACTTTTTCTTCTTGAGTTCAACGAAGAGAGGGGACAAAAGCAGTTGATCATGGTGATGCAGTGTACCTCAACTTCTCCAGGGTATTCGATCGTGTGAACCACAAATTGTATTGCTGAGGAAACTACACAACTATGGAATTGGGAGATTTGTATTGGGTTGAATGGAATTTCTGTGACAGTTCGGGTTTCTGGGTCGCTTTCTGACCATATCAATGTAGCCCGAGGAGTTCCACAGGTATCCGTACTTGGCCCTCAGCTTTTTCTTGTTTTCATAAACGACCTAACGGATGTTCTGCGGCCATACACTTTAATGTTTGCAGACGATGCGAAAAATATGGAAGACAGTGACAAAACCCGACGACCCGATGGCACTTAGGAGAACACTTAGTGTTGCTTATCAATGGTCCACCGAAAATTAAATCGAATTCCATGTATCCAAATATACAATCATATCCATTCGCCACAACACTCAGTCTCCGTATCTTCTACGGTATGAACAACTTCCGTGTGTCTCGAATGGGAAGGATCTTGGTGTGAGTATCCAAGACTGCTCCAGGGCGTTGCCCACCGCTGTAAAACATGTTGGTTTGCTAAAGACAGTATTTAGCAAATTTGAACCTGCGCTGTTCCCATAGTTGCTATCAGCCTACATTCGACCCCACACAGAGTACGCAAGTCAAGCGTGATAGTCATGGCTGTAAGGCGATCGGAAGATTCTGGAACGTCCACAAAGAATGGCCACCAAAATGACCGAGGGACTGCATTCCAAGACTTATGTGAAAAGACTGGAATCATTGGGGCTGTACTCCACATAGTATCACCGAATTCGAGGGGACTTGATTTTGGTGCATCGAATAATGCAGAACCCTGATTGTC